ACGACCTGTGCAAGGAGGTAAATTCAACGTGTAACACAGATGCACCGCTATGCGACGCGCCTGCGATGCGTCACTCTGCAGCGCGTCTGCATTACACCGACATGTCAGATGGGACCATAGATCTTGACCTCAACACTTATTATAGCGCTTCCTCTGGAACAATGTGATAAACGCGGAATGTGCAAATGCCGTCTGAATGGATATGTCTACGATCCTGAATCCAAAAAGTGTCTAGGTAGGAAACGCATACTTGTTCGATCAATATGCATACTTTACACGTACTATGACTTACATTTGCAGACATCGATGAATGCGACACGCTTGAACCAGGTTGTTCCCAAAAGTGTGTGAATCATCCTGGCAGTTATGAATGCATCTGTGATCCAAGTTTCTTCCGCTTGGATAAGGATAATAAGACATGTGTCAGGATTGATAGGGGTAAGTAACAGAGTCAACACAGAAAGTTTTCAGAATTGCGCGAAAAATTTCCTAAAGCATGCCTGAGAGGAGAAAAAAAATTTCGAAAACACCTGGGATTTAGAATTTTTGAGAAAGTTTTTGAGCCCAACCCTCCAATAATATACGTTTGGATTTCCAAGTTACCGCTACAAATATTTGAGTCATCACTGTGTCCAAAATCCAAAAAATTATTCTACAGATCCAATGTGGCTATTCTTCGCTCATGGGCAGTCAATCTGGAATATTTCACTTAGTGGAGGATCATTCGAACTACAAAAGGCTGGTCTGCAAAAAACTGCCGTACTGGATATTGACGTGGCTGTAAGTTCCCTGTTTTGGCCTACATAAGCTTCAGTATTACTATGGGACAAGTCGGCATACCCTATGTCATTTTGGTAGCAAGTTTCCTTGCAGCAGGCGGTTGCGATAGGCCAACATTAGTGTCATTTACATGCATTCTTAATTGATCTTAGGAGCGACGAATCTACTACGCAGACGTTGGTTCAAATTCGATAGAAAGGCTAAATCTTGATGGAACATTCCCTCATGT